GCGGCTCTACCCCAGGGGTAGGCAAGAAAAGCCTGGTCTGCTGGGTGGGGGGCACCAGCTGCACCCCCCCCAGCAGACCAGGGAGACGGGGGTGGCAGGACCGCCCAAGTCCTCCACGGCTTTGCTCCATCTCCCTGGTCTGATGACCTGGGAGATGCGGAGCAAAGCCGCAGAGCATGCGGGCAGCGGGACAGTCCAGGTGCGCCACGCTGTCCCACTGCGGGTGTGCTCTGCAGCTTTGCTCCCTGTCTCCCTGGTCTGCAGAGAGATGGGGAGCAAAGCCTTGGAGCACGCCTGCAGCTGGGGTTGGGGCTGCGGGGCAGCCCAGGCGTGCCTGGGCTGCCCCGCTGCCCGAGCCCCTCCGCGGCTTTGCTCTGCGTCTTCCTGGTCTGCAGACCAGGGAGACGCAGAGAAAGCCCCAGAGTACATGGGCGGCAGGACCGCGAGGTCCCGCAGTCCGTGTACTCTGGGGCAGCCCTGTTTATAACTGCGGATCCGACATAAGTCGGATCCGCGTAAGTCGGGGACTGCCTGTACCACAATACATGATGTTGGAAAAAGGGTTATTATTAGAAGGAGAAGCATGAAACTAATTTGGTCATGGTGGAATGGGTATGGATACTCAATGGATGCAAATACCCACAACATACTCATGAGACAGAATTTGTCAGATTATTTTTTCCAGGTTCTCCAAACATCCATTAACTCATTTTTCTTTCTATTCAAGTCCCATTTAACACCCTTAGTCTTGCAATATATCATGAGGGTGAATAATTTCAGCTCTGCAGGACCAACCGTGAAGCAAAATAAAGAGGCAAAAGTCCCCACAGAGAATACCATGTCTTTGGCTTCCCCATGTTCAAAATTGAGGGCTGACAGTGAGAGTATTCCAATTGGCATCAATTGTCTGCTTGGGACATGAGAAAAGAGGTAGTGCATAAAATAACCAGGAGTTAAACCATGTAAACCTTGATTGATAAAAATCAACACTTTGAATTGCACTTGTAAAAGTGTCTGGTCACTGGTTGGAATCAATGCTATGTATGAAAGAGACCCATCTATGAAATCTACCTAAATCAGCAGTGAAACACAATCAATACTAATAAATCTCCAGGTAGTCTCCAAGGAACGCTTCATGTAAAATGTATGGTTTTAAACCATTCTGGAGATGACAAAGCATGGATAACTGCAGCATGACCTACATCTATCTGAGAGGCAAAGTCAACCTTCTAGCCACATGTCAATGGAAAAACTACTCAACTATTGCTTCTACCTAGTAACTAACATGCAGCTGAACACTGAACAGCACCCTCAGATTGCAAATCTTGTTAAAAAAGTGGCCATATCCTCTTGATTGAGAGAACAGATACCATCCTCAGCCATCTCTTCTGGATGTTTCTCCCTTTCAGCTAGCAACATCTCTGTTTATTTCAAATAAAATTCTAGAAGCCATCTTCCAACCTGTATTTAATAAATGTAGTAGTTTGGAAGTGAGCATGTGAGTAAGCAAGCATGTCTGTGAGGAGCATAAACAAGTGTGAGTAAATGTTTATGCAAAAGAACATGTTCAAATAGGCAGGCTGTGTGTATGCAAATGCATGTGTGTCAGGGAGCTTAAAGGCTAGCAATTGTGTAAAAAATTGGAGTAGGCTAGTAAGTCTGTGTTTTACAGCATCAGTGAACTTGCATGTAAGTAAGTTGCATATGTATGTTGGCAAAGAAGCAGTTGTAGACATCTGTGTGTAAATATGCGTATGTGTTTGATTGTAGGGTAGATTTCTGGAAGCCTGTGTGTAATTGTGTCAATGTACGTAAGTGGCTAACCTGTACTCTGTGCCCAAGGCAGTGGTTCTTGGTGATGCCAAGTCAGTATGCACCGATGGTATTCTGGGCGAGGATCTAATTTTACATCACATGATAACTGCAGGAGAAGCAAAAAGAAGAAGAAGATACAGACTGTCATTAACATTTCAGTAGAGAAGCTGGATTTTATTCTGCCTCAGTCATCAGCAATAGGACTGTCAGCTCAGTTCTCACTGTAGAATGTTTACTACTGATGAAGGCTGGGTAAACTTACATTGACATAGCTAGTACATTTCAATCTACCTACCTCTTCACCTCTAGGGTGGAACACAACAGAGTTGTTAACTGAAGAGTAGCTTTACATAACTGTTCAGAACTAGAAGAGTAGAGTAAATTATGCAGTTGAAATTGTAGAGAGAATTAAAATTGGCAAGAAGTAATTATCTCAATCAGTGTTTGTTTAAAACCCAAGAACTAATACACCCTAATACTGTCAAAAATTCCATGGGCAAGTCAAGTGGTCAGGACCTCACGCTTACATCTCATTTGAAAGATGGTGATTCAAATAGTGCAGGGCCCATTAACGACAATCTGTGATTTTGGTTGGATATTGACTCAAAGGGAAGAGTGCCATCTATTTAATCATCATCAGCACTTCCTACTTCTAAAAAGTGGCATGATGGATTAAGAGGCAGAAAGAATAGAGTTTGTTGTTGAGACTTCAGGTAGTGTTTGCAGCACTGACAGCTTACAAGTCCATATATTTTTTTTTCTAAACGGAGAAATTTGGAAACAGATAGAATTAAGAATATAGAAACATGGACACAACAGCAATACAGTCACTATCAAAACCTTCCTATTATATCATTCAACATTCTGATGTGAACAGACACAATTCTGAGAGAAACGCATCCCAACTTACTTAACCTAAGTAAACCTATCTACACAAATTTATCAGAAATCCCCTTTTCTTTCCCCATTTTTCTTTTCATCATTTCAGTCCACACCAAATCCTGTAGGAAGGCAAACCTTCCTACAGTTGTCTAAGCTACGCTTCTAGACACTGCCTTTCTTATGCTCTTATACTATGTCTCTGATCTTCCTAGACTCTATATATACTCAAAATTTGTGTTAAAAAAGTCCGTCCTCCCCCCTGCCATAGCATAGTTCTTTAGGCAGTCAGTTCTTTGAAACTATAACAGCAATATGATTCAACAGAATATTCTTAGATACTACAGGTTTAACCTTTAAAATCGGGTACTCTTTGGTCTGGCAACATCTGTGGTGCAGCAGGACCACAGATATTCCTGAGCCACGGAGCCCCAGCGGCTGAGAATTGGGAAGCAAGAAGGCCTGTGGCTGGGAGTGTGGCTAGAACCAGCAGCAGTGGAGCCTATGCCTGGGAGCCTGGATGGGGTGGGCAGCCCAAGGCCAGTGGCAGTAGAGGGACTGGGAGTGGGATCCCAGCCAGGACTGTGGCAGCATCCCAGCTGAGGCTGCGGGCAACTTCCCAGCCAGAGTAGGTGTCAACAGCAAGGCCAGTGTCCCAACCAGCATTGACAGTTGCATCCCGGCCAGGACCGGTGGTGGCAGCAGGGCCGGGAGTCTGGCTACAGTAGGCAGTCAGAGGTTGGCTGCCTAGCTGGGGTCATCAGTGGCAGCAGGGCGGCCTGAGTGGGTTTAGTGGGCAGGGCGGGGGCTGAGAGCAGAGGCAGGCAGCTGCAGAGTAGCTACAGAAAATTCTAGCCATAAAGGGTTTAGTCCCCTCCAGTGCTTTTTTTGTGACAGTGTGGTGTACCGTCACTTGCCTCTTCCCCTCAGTACAGCCCCCAGCCGGCCCTGGAAGCACCTGGGACATGTGGCAATTAAAGGGGCCACGACTGCATTTCGGCTTTCTGCCCTGACCTCCCAAGTCTCCCTGGTTACTCCCCGGTGCTTTTTTGGTACTCGAAAAATTTTGAAACCCTAGTACCGGCACCTTTTTTTTTTCTTTAAACAAACAAAACAAAAACAAAAAAACAAACAAAAAAAAAAAGAGGCAAGCACTGGACCCCCCGCAAAGATCTATGGATGGAGGAATGAACTAGAGAAAAACCCAGCTCTTTGTGAAGTACGTCAGTGTTAACTGGTCTCTAGTGCCAGTGAATTGCATTGACAGGAACATGCATGAATGAGATTTTTATTACCCATCATTCAGAATAACAGGTCTGGGAAATGTGGAAGAGAGATACAGCAATGTGTAAGTGAAAAATGTGGCTCTATCTTGGAGTGATTTCAGGAACTAAAATTATCACTAAATGAAGACAGAAATTATGTTAAATAAGCAAATTTACAATGATATGGATGGGCTGGTTTGATAGGGCCTACTAGGACTTTCTGGATTATTTTGCAGGAAACTGGAATTTGCTTAATTTCTGGATCCAGTCTTCCCTTTTTCTGGGTTGACAGTAGCTTGGAAAAGACATGGTGAAGACTTTATACTCAGTTCTGGGGCTGAGATGGAAAATGGAGAAATGGTCTTCAATAGGAAACTCTCAGATCACCCTAAACTATTTCTGTTCCTTCTCAGTGTAAACACCTATTACAGTAAACTTCTGATAATCCGGCACCTTTAAGACCCAGGGGGTGCCGGATTATCAGATATGCTGGACTATCGGAAG